TGATGAATGATGCTGCTGCATTTTTTTAAAATCAACCTAGCCACCTTTTTTTTCTAAAGATAAAAAAGAATAATATATCAAAAGATAATATTTGTGAGAATATTGCTAAACTGATCATCAGGGCATAAATCGCCACTTCTCTCGTTTGTTCCACTTCAGTAGGAGTTTGACTGTCTGGAATTTGTCACTCATCCATGTCTCAATGTTGATGCAAGTAAAATGTAGATCTCTTAACCTAATGTAGGTTCAGACAGGAAAATGATGTCATTTGTGTCCCCGGTTCAGCTGACCCGAGTCATCAGCCACCACACTCATTTACCATTCACTGCCTGGATCCAGACAATGTATTTCTATCATCTTCATGCTACTGGCTGACTGACCGCTGATGATGAAATTATACCACCCACCACCCCAGCTTTTCCAGAGTGTTGTGTAATTTATTCTGATTCATTGTGAGTTTATAAGTTATTTCAGTGATGTCTCACGTTGTTCTATATATCCCAAAAACAGATTTATGTCTGAGATCTGTTTGCTTCTTAGGTTTCTCCTTCCTGATCTGCTCTGACTTTCTGATTGGTCTAGAGGCCATCTCAAATGGTGCTGTTACGTCAGCAAGTGTTTTTGTGTCAACAGTAAACAATGACAAGCATATTTATCAACAGCAAAACAGGAAAGGAGAGAAAGGAGCAGACTGCTGTAGTTTAGTGAAGCCAAAAGATCAACTACCTCATTAGCATACTGCTGCCATGGAAACAGGACACCATGCTGTAGCTGAGGGGAGGATAGGAAGATGGATGGAAGAAAAGAAGAAGGGTAAGGAAGAAGGGGTGAGGAGAAGAAATGCGACTGAGCAGGAAAGAAAGACAAGCGAGCAAATACAAAGTGAGAAGGACGGGAGTGGAGACCAAACTCAGAGGAGGTGGAGAATCAGTTGAGAAGAGATGCAATGTATAGAAGGGGAGAAGTAAAGAGGATTGGGGTCATATAATGAAAAAGAAAATACACAAGATGACAATGAAAAGAAGATCAGTGATGTAGAACAAAGAAGAAAAAGAAAAACACTGAGAATGGGATGTAGCAAAGACAGCCGATTTAACAAAGAGGTGAAAGAAACTGAGAAAACAAAAAATGCTAAGTTGGTGGAAAAAGGAAAAATCAGAAAATATTCCTATTCTTATTTGTGTTATACATCCCATTTAAAGCTTTATCTAAATAGGTCCAAATCACAGCAACAGTCAATAAGCTGAAATCCATACAGTTAGAGTCAGAGCTTTGCATACTGTTATGCTCCATAGCATTAATATGTAGTATTTATATTGGCGATTTAAACAATAATTCAACAATGTAAAAAAACATGTAGGAACTGCTGCTGCTTGTCGACATACACTGACCCTGCAAACAATGTGAATCTTTTTGCTTCCATTAAAAATGGTGACATGAGTCCTGATCAAGGGAATCATGTGTAATCTTTACACTTATAAATGCTCCACAGCAAGCATCATACGGGTAAATCTGGGGAGGCTTTATCTTCCTCTGTGAGCTTTTATGACAAACCAAAGGTTACTTTCAGCCCTGACAGGTTTGTAGCTCCTCTGTTGTTTCCATTTACATCTCATTACAGTTCAACCGCTAATACTGTTGGCATTACGCCAAAGGCTGTTTGTCCCCATCAGACCTTCAGGTGCCCTCTGAGTCACCAAGAACCATTCCTCTTTCCTTCCTGTTTGACTTTTCCTCTTATTTTCTTTCTCCCATTGTGTCCCCCTTTTTCTTTTCTTCTCCCTTCCCCTGCTTCCTTGTTCTTGCCAGGCCCATCTTTCAATTTATTTACTTCCTCCCTTCTCATTTCTGCTTTTCAGTGATTAGTTTTAATCTTGGTAAAAATCCCAGGACTGTAAATTACTCTCATACTCTGAAAAGGCTTCAGAGACTGAAGGTTATCAATCACCCCGAGTCGTGTCTGTGTGTCTTTGTATGTGTATAAGAGAATGTTAATAATGTGTTTCTCCTTTAAACAAACATCCTTTTAGATAAATGAGCTAAATAAACATCCAGCTCAATTTGGCACATCCACCTTCACACAAGGACGGGAAACTGTTATGAACCAAACATTTAGCTAATAGATTGAAGAGGAAAACTGCCCCCACCCAAAAAAAAACCCCAGGATGACACCTGAAACTGTCAGTCAAAAATTAGCCTCTTCTACTTTTGACGGCTGAACATTTGGTGATAACTGCAGATTTCTTCACTTGCTTGTGTCTTTTTCTGTGAGTGTGGGCTTGGAGATAATTGATCCTGGCACATTCTATCTGCACTGTCCATAACTAAACATAGGCTCTTTTTATGAGACTGTCTGAATTTTTACCAGCTTTGCTTCAAACATTTCAGCATCGTGTAGTATAGAGTGTGGAAAGAGCTGTCCATGGTGCTGATCTTGTGATGCACTGTAGTTAGACAGGAAAGAACAATCCTTGCTGGGATTCCTACTGCTAAACAGCCATTAGGACTAGTTT